ACTCAGTTCCCTCTAATCATTAACCCATGTTTGTATCATTGAGTTAGCTCCGTGTGTTGCTGCTAGCATACATAACACCTGACGTGGAAACGTTACTCGTGGACGGGGCTACAGCGCTACTAGAGAGACAGTCGAACCCGGTGCATTCCTCCGTCTGGATGTGGAGCACTTTGGATAAATGTTTAGACAAACTGCTCGTGTTGCCGCCCTCACATGCTAAACACTAATTGCACTTTAGGTAACGAGCATTGTCCACATCGAGACGGGTAAAGTTTAACCACACCTCGGAGCGCGTTCTCTCCGCCATCTCCTCCGTGTGTGTGTGTGTGTGTGTGTGTGTGTGTTTTTTATGCACAAATTGGAAATGCACATAGCTGGTGGTGTGTAGCCTTATAAACTGTTACTCACAACCATGTCTGCCATCATGTCATCTTCCATCGCCAACTGGACCCGGTCCCTGCAGAAACACAAGGTCGATCAATCAGAGGGAAGAACACAGACATGCAGACGTACAGGTAATAACAGTGAGACAGGTGCGATCAGTGAGACAAGTAGTCGGTGAGAAAGGTACGATCAGTGAGACAAGTAGTCAGTGAGACAAGTACGATCTGTGAGACAGGTAGTCGGTGAGACAAGTAGTCAGTGAGACAAGTAGTCAGTGAGACAGGTACGATCAGTGAGACAAGTAGTCAGTGAGACAAGTAGTCAGTGAGACAGGTACGATCAGTGAGACAAGTAGTCGGTGAGACAAGTAGTCAGTGAGACAAGTAGTCAGTGAGACAGGTACGATCTGTGAGACAGGTAGTCAGTGAGACAAGTAGTCAGTGAGAAAGGTACGATCGGTGAGACAGGTAGTCAGTGAGAAAGAAAGGTACGATCTGTGAGACAGGTAGTCAGTGAGACGGGTACCTATAGAGCGAGGTGATGAGTCTCCAGGAGCAGTTCTCCTGCTGCAGCAGCCAGCGGACTCCGGCTGTCTTGCTGTTCTGGCCGGCTCTGAGCACCACAGACTGCAGAACATCCACCTGGAGCACAGAGAGGAGGCGAGTGATTCAGCTACACTAACAGTTCATGAGCTAGACTACAGGTACTACACTGGTAGGTTTCTTTTGAGTTGATATGGTCATAACTAGGCTATCCTCACACCAAGCGCATCATAAGTCAAAGTCAACTTTATTGTGAGTCTTTCATCGTTTGTGTGTACAGACAGAGAGATACCCTTTCCCACAATCCCCATAACTGCATAAGACTTATAAACGCCTGAGCTCCAGTGCCTTCATAACTTTTTATTCAGCTCATTGTATTCTATTTTACATACAGTTTACTTCTAGACATCCACTTGCACATTGGTCCCTTGCACAATTTGATTTCTATTTTGCACTATTTTTATTCAGAATCAGAATACCTTTATTAGTCCCACAGAGGTGTACATTGTTACAGCAGAAAAGAGCCAAAGACAGCCGATTAATTGTTTTATGTCTTATTATATATTATGTCTCATTGCTGAAGGAGCCTGGGACATAAGATTGTCTTTGCCATAACTACACTGTAGCTGTGTGCATATGACAATAAAGCCTTTGAATCTTGAACTTTTTAATCCAGCATTATAAAAGTCAAAGCAGAGAGATATGCATCATTTGCACAACTTCAAATAAATCAACTTGCACAAAAGAAGTCCCTTTGAATTTGGTGCGTACCTTGTCCTGGCAGAGCGCCTGGTAATCCTCCAGCAGCTCAAACACCGCAGAGGAAGAGTGTTTCAGAAAGGACCCGAGGAACTCTGGGAAGAGACTGGCAGCCGCTGGAAAGACGTGGACAAAGTGGAGAGGTGTGAGAAAAAAAAGAAACTGACAATGCAGAGTAACAGAGTGGGTTTAAGGAGCGTTAGTTTCACTCACCAGCATCTCCAGGGTCGTCTTCCTTCAGTAGAGCCGAGCTGAGGTTGCTGATGTCCTCCGTGAAGAAGCTCGTGTCCCCCAGTCCAGAAATAGGAGAGATGTACGTTTGGTTTGTCCAATCGCTGTCGTCCAAATTCTAGACACAAAGACATCAATTTAAGAGTTACTCCTTCATTTATTATCTGGTCAACATGCCCTTTGACCCCTAACCCATCACAGTCCCCCTGCTTCCACTCCTACCGATATCTTTATATACATTTTTTTCTTACTTGCCATTTTATTTACTTATTGTTATTAATATTATTTTTCGTCACTGTGTTTTTATTGTCTATATCTGAACGTGGAAACAATGTGTTTTATTTTGGATCAAACTTTTCAAGGTGGGATGGGGGGTGGTGATGGTTTGTTCTGAAAAAAATGTAGACTGGATGAAGATCATTGACTCAATTGTGACCCTGTATGATTGTGCCTGTTCTTCAATTAAAAAAAAGCGTCACTTCTGCAAGAGAGGGACTCGTGCAAAAACCCTTTAGGTGGTGATTTAAGAGTGTGTGTGTGTCTCACCAAACTGCTGCGACCGTGTCTGGGTGTGTGTGTGTATCGAGGCGTTCGACCTGCTGGAGCCAAAATGGTGGAAACATCTGGAACCCTGGGAGTAACTGAGAGGGAAACACAAGAGGGGAGAGTATAGTTAAAATAAAGAAGGAGCTCATATATGTATGTATGTATGTATGTATGTATGTATGTATGTGTGTGTGTGTGTGTGTGTGTGTGTGTGTGTGTGTGTCCTACCGGCCTGTCTGAACAGTGAAGCCGGAGTGTTCCTCATCATGGAGCGAGCTGGTGTGACGGTGGAGGCGATGGGGCTGCTGTCGGGTGACGGGACTGAGACCAGCGGTCAGGAAACAACAACACTGACAGCTCTGACATTATAGAGTGGTGTGGGAATGAGTCCTAAAACCCAGAAGTGAGTTAGCATTTCACCACTTCCGGTTCCCTCGTCTCAGAGCCAACGGGATTTTAGAACTAGTTTTTGGAAAATATCTGTAAATAAGGTTTGTGGTTGAGACACATTGAAGAGACAGATCACGTTTTGACCCCACTGGTGATTTTTGAAGAGTTGACGTGTCTGAAAAACGATGGTTGTTACCAAGTGGCTGAATAGGACTACAGAAGTCGTGGAGGCCGTTGTACGTCATTACGCCGAACACGTAAACACTCCTCTAAGTTTGTTTGCCCTGTTCTGCTTGAAAGCAAGTACCTGCCTCCTGCAAACTGTTCAAACAAACGCTTCAACTTGTACCATTTAGTATGTTTGAATATGGATCTTAAGTTGGCGTGACGTTGAAGTCGTGCGACCCTGCTGTACTCGGCTGTAGTTAAGGATACAGAAGACCTTCTTCCTCCTTGACCTTCTACGGGCAGCGACGGTCACCTCGTCGTCTCGAACCACCGGAGACGGCAGCTCATTCTGACCCCTGGAAGACAAGACGTTAACGTACGTGTTTGTGTATAAATACATTAGAGCTGCACAGATTAGACATAAAAAAGTCACAAAGTATTAAAATATGTTGATGCATGATAAATGTCGTATATGTATGACATTTATCATATCAATAACCGGAAAAGCATGACATGGGACCTTTAAGACTCTATAAATGTGGGTAGTTTCATCTATAACAGTATAATGTGTTGTCTAATACGTTTGCATTATCAATGAGAATCTGCAAAGAAGTGCAGTTAAAAAGTGCAATATGTAAATATGAGTACAGATAATGGAAATAAGCAAGTAAAACACAAATATGTCCAAATTTTAACTGAGTAAATCTACCTAGCAACACTGTGTTTGACACGATAATAAGACATAGAACAAGTCAAACGATTCAATAACCCATCAGTTCTGCTAGCTACCTACTATAAACATTGGTTATAGCATTTAATATAACCTGTAGGTGTTAAAAACAAGCACCCTGTGTGTTCTTCTCCTTTTACTGTCTGTAAAAACACGTTATTATCATTATTTTGAAACATGTCAACATTAGCATCTGTTAGCATCACCATTCATTATGAACGGCGTCGTTAGCCCGAGCTAACAAAGTGAAGTAGCCGCACAGCTGGCTAAATAAAGCAAACCGTTCCCATACAGAGATAACATATTTAACAACAGATGTAAAATACAAGTTTAATTAATGTTATTTACCAGTCCATAGTATTGCTGTCAATTCCCGCTTCACGAGGCTCAACAAAATTCTTCTTCGTGGGTTTTTTACTTCACTTCTTCTGTTTTTGAATATCCGGCAGACTGGAGGCAGTGCAGCTCAATGTTGCCCCCTATCGGTCGGTGCTATATTGTATAGAGGAAGGTCCATGTGATTATCTCATGCCAAACTTGTGTCTTTAATATTTAGAATTACGCCCACATTAAAGAAAGACAATGTTTAATCATTTTTCTTAATTTTTCAAACGTTTTCCTGTCTTGATTTATCTCTCAAAATGTGTTGTGTGTAGTGAGTCATTTGTTGTTGTAGGTTATTAATAAATCCAACACTTGCAATGTGCACAATCTCAGTACAAAGGCTTAAGCCTACAGCTATTTGTATTTAATTTTTCTGTATCTAAAGTGGAAACTTGTTTTTTCAAGAACATTATTTTCATTGTATTTTTTCTTTTTGTTTAATCTTTAAAAAAATTAGATAATTGAAGGCAGTGTCATGGTGACTTTGCTATAGACACAATTAATTGGGGTCCATAGCACGATAATATACAGAGAAGAGGCAAATCAAAATAAGAAAATAGAAAAATAAAATACACGTTTTTATGTTTTAAGTCCACAAAAGATATTCATTCAACATTATTTAAGTAGATGTGTATTTATTTTATATAAAATTATTTTTTTCATGCTAGCTTTGGTACAGCTTTGTTTTATTTTACTTTTATTTTTATTATTTTTCTAATTCTTCAAATGTTCCCTATTTTCTTATTTTCTTATTTTCTTTTTGATTGAATGTTTTTATTATATTTCTTTCTGCTGCCTCTCCCTCCAGTCCACTACCGGTCGCTGTTGCTCAACACACGCCGGTTAAACGACGTTGAACACGGAGGAAACAGGAACACACTGGGCGGCTTGTAACCAGAAATCACGGTTGCAATCAGCTGGAGAGCAGGGAGAGAAAAATCCTCCAGGAAAAAGTAGCGGAGATTCGTCACCACTAAGGCCGGGATTGGAGCTCCGATTCCCGGGTGGAGACTAGAACTCTCGGTGTGTTTGATCCTCTGGAGGTAGACAGGCGGAGGAAAAGAGGGGAGACAGATGGAAAGATGGAGACCCCAGGTAAACTTTTCTTAATGCGTGGCAGAATGAGAGTCAGACAGACAGAGAGAGAGACACATGATGTGTTCAGACTATCTTTAAACTAATATCACTCTGCACTTTTATTAAGTCTGCCACTTAGTCACTTTATGATGCAATTTCCCTCTTTTGGTGTGCATGAATTGTATGTTGTGCTGTCTATGAGTGAGTTTTTGTTCCTTATTTGCCAGTACAAAATACATATATCCATTATATGTAAATGTAATGGACAATAAAGTATTCTTAATCTAATATACTGTGTTAACTAACTGTAACACACTTTATTTAACTCACAGTTTAACCTCCATTAGCTATTTCTATGTCTCTGACTCACTCCAAACTTAATTGAAAAAAACAGCTGTTTTACTCTTAAAAACTGCGGAATGTACTGAAAAACTAAACTAAAGTATATATCTGAGGTACTATTAAACCCTTACCGCACTACAAATTAAAGGCTATTGTACTGTTTACTTAACTAGATTTATTCGACAACTATTCATAGTTAAGTGTGTCTGTATTCAAAATTGCCGGTTTCAGTGTTACATTTGTATATTAGTGTATGTTACTATATTGCTTTTCAATAAGAGTTATAAAGTGAAGTGGTGGAAGTGAAGTCTACTTCATAGACTTTTAGTTACGTTCGTTAGTCTATAACAAAGCATAATATTTGATAAACTGATCTAACTTGTTTAGCTGTAATAAAGTGTAGTATTAAGCACAATATTAACCTTTGAAATGTAGTGAAGCACAGTATTTGAGTAAATGTACTTTGTAACTTTCCACAACTATAAATAAAGTAGTTAAACTTAGCTTAACATTCACCTTCTATAACAGGGGTGTCAAACTCATTTTCATCTCGTGCCACATTAGCATTATGGTTGCACTCAAAGGGCCGGTTGTAACTTTAAGACTATATAAAAATACATATATAAATATTTAATATATATAAAATAATGCATTAATTTATAATACATTATTGCCTCTGCATTGGATCAGATAGGGTAATAACTTCATAATTAACTACGTCTGAAAGCAGAAGTCTAGGGCAAAAAATGCAAGTCTCCTCAGTGAGAATGTCACAAAATGATTAAAAAGTAAAAGCCACATTCTGGAAAAAAAGTCAAAATAAAATTTAAAAAAAGTCAGATTCTGAGAAAAAATGAATATTTTGAAGAAAAAATCAAATTCTCAGTAAAATGTCAAATTTGAGATGCATTGTGGGACATGTAGTTTATGGGCAACGTGCTTCTGTAAATCTGCATGTCACCGTATAATAAACATACTATATTCTTTGCAAGCTCTTGTGGGGCCACATTAAATGAAGTCACGGGCCGGATTTGGCCCCCGGGCCTTGAGTTTGACACCCCTGTTCTATAACATAGACATAATGCTAATTATAATATTACATTATAATAACACAATATAGTGAAATATGCAATTCCTCTGCACAATGAACACATTTACCTTTGGTGCCTTCACAACATTTGACTGATATTCAATCCGTACGTTGCATTGTTGTATTTACTTAATCACTACTACACTTAGTTAACTCTAAAACACAGCATTTTTGAACTATAGCTGTTGCATGAAGTCTACTGTATAACGTTTTAAACTTCTCTACTTCCCTTTCTCTGTCTGTGTTGCAGTGTTAACAGAATAGTTGAACAAAGCTCAGGTTGGGAACGCTAAGCTGAGAAACTTCCAGAACCATGAAGCAGACATTATTAAATCTATCGGCCAACGGGCGCCTCATCGCCGGCCTGCTGGTCAACCTGCTGTCCTCCATCTGCATCGTCTTCATCAACAAATGGATCTACGTCCACTACGGCTTCCCCAACATGACCCTGACTCTCGTTCACTTCGTGGTCACATGGCTGGGGCTCTACGTCTGCCAAAAGATGGACATTTTCGCCCCGAAAAGCCTCCCGATTCGCAGCATTGTGTGGCTGGCTCTGAGCTTCTGTGGGTTCGTGGCGTTCACCAACCTCTCGCTGCAGAATAACGCCATAGGAACGTACCAGCTGGCCAAAGCCATGACCACACCCGTCATCATCCTCATCCAGACCACATACTACAAGAAGACCTTCTCCACCAAGATCAAACTCACACTGGTACGGAAAGTTTGAGAAGTATCCTCGAGTTCTGCTACTAAAACTTATTTGGTTGGAAAAATCTTTGGTCTGGGAAATGGAAACATATGTCCAGTTCTTCAAGGATTCAAAAGGCTTTATTTGTCATAGAGAGGCGAAGTCCCGCCCATCTACTTCCGACCCATGGGACCTTATTTCTGAAAAAGTCTGTATTGAAGTCAATGGGGAGAGAAAGATTATCTTTCGATCCCGTTTGAATTGTGCCATGAATTACACATATGATGTTTGTCAATCTTAAAAAATAATTTCCATGTCAAAAAAGTCACAGTTTGTCGTAAAACTGTTGAAATATAAGACTATGAAAAATAGGCAACTAGAAAGACTACAAATCCCAGAGTCCCGGTCCCGCATGCTGGCTCTTATGAACCGACTCACTCCCCTTGTGTGTATGCACAGCTCTCAACATGCCCAGACTTGGAGTGATTTTCACCTATTTTAATACTTTCCGCCTCGTTCTGAAAGAAAGAAGTGAAATGTGCCAACGTGACGGCCGTCTTGGTGTGTGGTGCGAGACGGGAGATGGAGTTCATTGAGCGGTTTCACACAACAAAAAGTGTTACTTCAGTTTTACGACACGTTTTAATTTTTTTGACTTGTAAAATTATCTTTTAAATTGACAAACATCATATGTGTAATTCGTGGCTCAATTCAAACGGGATCGAAAAAGATAATCTTTCTCTCTCCATTGACTTCAATACATACTTTTTCTGAAATAAGGTCCCATGGAGCTCCCCCGGAAAGGCAGGGACTTCACCTCTCTATGTGCACAATGTAGTTTTGGCAATTACATTACATTCAATTGCATTTAGCTGACGCTTTTGTCCAGTAACAACAAATGTGCTATTGGCAATAAAATCTAAAATCTCGAGCTCCTCCAACTTAAAAAATGAAAATATATATTTAAAAAGAAGATGAGAGAATAGTAGGATGAAAAGTAGGTTGAATAGGACTAGTACTTTACGGGTGAATAAATACTGTGATAGTATATAATTATGTGGATTTGTGCAATAAGCAGATGGACAGGAGAGACATTTACGAAAAACCTTTGGAAAGTCTAGGAAATGTCCTCGTTATAGTAAGACTACTGAAACCCATTCTGTTGGAAAAGCTTAAGCTGGGAAAATGGAAAAAATATTGTTTAGTTCTTCAAAGACTCAAGACTCCAACGCTTTATTTGGCATATGCACAATGTAGGTTTGGCATTTAAATCTAAAGTCTCAAGCTCCTTCATCAAGAAAACGTACAAAAAGAAAAGATATATTTAAAAAAAAGACGAGAAAATAGTTCCAGACATAATTTGGCACGTAGGTTGCAGGAATAAGAAAGATATATATATATATATACATAGGTCTTCAAATATTTAGGATTCAACAATTGAAAGGCTTTTGTCGTCATATGCACAATAGCACAATAAAGTTTTGGCAATACAATCTAAAGTTTAAACAATGCAGCATGCAGTAACAGAAAATGATGCAGTAACAATACACATTTTGGTGCATGTAGGGAATAAGAAAGATAGATATACATATAAGGTAAAACAGGTTGCAAAGCTAAAAGTGTACACTAGGATAAATACTGTAATACTATATAAATATGTGGGTTTGTGAAACTATGAAAAGTGAAAGAAATGTCCTTATTTCAGTAAAAGATCTGCCCATTTTGATGCTAAATCTGAGGTGTAAAATGTTTTCTGCAGGTTCCCATCACATTAGGGGTGATATTGAACTCATACTTTGACGTGAGGTTTAACATGCTGGGGACGGTGTTTGCAACGCTGGGAGTCCTCGTGACGTCGCTGTACCAAGTGGTGAGTAAACACACACAAATAAATGAAACGTTTCTGTGAAATTAACTCAAATAAAACCACATTTCTCTCCTTCTTTGTGTCAGTGGGTCGGAGCTAAGCAACACGAGCTCCAGGTGAACTCCATGCAGCTTCTGTACTACCAGGTAGGACTCATTGTTTGATATAACAACACTTTTATATTGTGACTATAGCAGCACAAGGGTCACGTATTACTCAATATCTCCTGATACCGAGGCTTATCAGATAGTTTTATCTGTTAGTGCTGCACAGTCACACCACCGTTACACGAGTCATGGTGACAGCAGCTCTCTCATGAAACTACAAACAACTTACTGGTCTTTTCTTGGAAATAAATGTGGGACTTATTGGCCTTTTATCCGGCCCTCGACCTGGGACTTGTTTTGTTTTTCATTATAAAGAAAAATCATACAGAATGTCATTGAGCCGTCAAATACATACAGTAGATGATGCAACAGTGCACATTTCAAACAAACTGCCCAAAAAGCTACACATATGTTTGATACAGGTCAGAGGCCTATCAGCTGAAGGCCTCCCTGAATATCACCACTGTGGCTGAAATAGTAACTTCATGTTCTTTTGAGTTCATTTCTGTTAATAAAGTGACTTTTCTCTCAGGCTCCCCTGTCGTCAGGCTTCCTGCTCTGCGTCGTTCCCATGTTCGAGCCGCTGACTGGAGACGGAGGGATATTTGGACCCTGGTCTCTGCCTGCACTGGTGAGACACACACACACACACACACACACAAACACATATCAAAACATATGTGACACTTTCATTACAGCTAGACTGTCTCCAGGCTTTTATTTTGAACGCCCTGATGCTTTAGTTCGCTGCCTTGTTGCTGTAGTAACGGTGTTCTGTCTCTTGTTGCCTAGGCGACTGTGCTGTTCTCGGGTGTTGTGGCGTTCCTGGTCAACCTGTCCATCTACTGGATCATCGGAAACACCTCGGCTGTCACGTATCCTCAAATATCAGGAAGTTCAAAGACTGTTGGGGTCTAAAGGGTGTTAAGGGGGTTCGAGTAGTGCTTTTTCTACAGGTCTCTTTATCCTTTAATGGCTAATATGAGGTTTAAGGAGTTAGTTAGTTGGGGTTTTTAAGGAGTTTCAGGGACTCTTGGGAAGTTTTGAGAGCATTGCTAGGAGCTTTTTTTTCTATAATTGAATCCAGACCCTTTTTTAGCGGTCTTTGGTCTTTGTTCAGGGGGATTTGAGGGGTTCTTGAGGGGGTTTCTGGTCTCTTCTAGACCTGTCTTTGTCTTTCCCTCCAAGGTTTAATGGCTTTTTCAAAATGTTTAGGGACTTTTTCAGGGGAATATGAGGGATTCAAGTGTTTTTAAGGGCTTTTTGGAGAGCCTACTGGTTTGAGAACTTTTGGAGATTATTTCTGGTGTCTTGAGGTTTTATTTTTTTGGTTTTCTCAAGAAAGTATCTGGGACGGGTACATTTAATGGTGACTTGAGGTCTTTGTGGTTAGCATTCTGGTTTCTTTTATAGGTTTTCATTACTTCTCGAGAAGATTTTTGGTTTTCTTGAGAAGTTCTTATCTCTTCTTTCTGGGGGAATACAGGGGTTTGAGGGTTTCTTGGTGGGGTTTCTGGTCACATTAGCCGCTTTCACACCAAGTACTTTGCCGTACTTAGTTCCCAGCACTTAGTTCCCCCATGAAACTAAAGAGCAGATCGCGTTCACACCGGAATAAGTCCCTGAGGGAAGATTACGCAAATGAAGCCGCTGACGTCACTTCTTCTTCTTCTGCTTTGGGTTTACTGGCAGGCCGCAAACCACTTCACGGCGTATACTGCCACCCGAAGTCCCCGGCCGGAAGTCCCCGGAGTTGGGGTCTGGCTTCAGTAGAAGCTGCTGGGACTCCCAGCAGCTTCTACAGACACCTCCTCATCTCTACCGCTCCCATATTTTTTTTTGTGTTGCCATAAGTTATTCTCTCTCCGTTGGTGCGCTGGGCTAATGCTAATGCTAATAATGCTAATGCTAATAACAGCAAATAAAATGGCGGCTTCACAAAACTTTTCAGAGTTTTACGGGGCGTGGTTTGCAATTCGCCCAGCCAATCAGACATTGGAACTTTTTTCTCCCATGAAAGTACCACCTCTCTAGCAGGGACTGAAAAGGGGGGAAAAGTTCTCATGAACTAAGTTCTCTTTTTGGTGTGAACGCAAAATCCCAGGAACTATCGGAACTAAACGGGAAAAGTACTCCGGTGTGAAAGCGTCTATTGAGGGTTTTCTTTAGGGGCTTTTGTAAGGTTTCTTAGTTCTTGGGGGGTAATCTGGTCTTCTAAGGGAGTTATGGTGGATTTGTGAGGATATGTATAATCTTACTTAAGGGGTTTCTTCAGTTCTGTAGAAGATCTTTTATCTTAATGTATACGTTTCTGGGAGAGTTCATGAAGTCTTGAAGGTCTTCTGGAAATGATTCTAGATATTAAACTTTATTTTATCTGTTTTTGTGTTGTTGCTTTCCTGACTTTAATTTGCAGCTACAACATGTTTGGACATTTCAAATTCTGCATCACTCTGGTTGGAGGATACTTGATCTTCCACGACCCGATATCAATCAACCAGGTGAGTCTTACTCTGCTGCCCTAAGGATTCAAACCAACAACCTCTGTCTCCCTTCCCATAATAATTTCCTCTGAATATCTTTCTCTTCTTCTCCTTCTGTCCCTCGTTCTCCCCCTCAGGCGTTGGGGATCCTCTGCACTCTGGCTGGTATTTTGTCTTACACTCATTTCAAGCTGGCCGAACAGGAGGAGGGGAAGAGTCGCCTCACTCAAAGACCATAGGCTGACGCACCTGTCAATCATCTGCACGGACTCCTGCCATTGGCCAACGCCTGCAGAGAACTCTTTATATATAAAAAAAAGTATTTTTCTAGAAGAGTGAAGATTTTCATCGCTGTTCACCAACATTTCAACGCTTTTCACGTGGATCTTTGATCAACAAAACACATTTTTTAAAGGGAAACTGGATGCTGGGAATAGAAGGCTTTCTTGACTTAATGAGACTTTAAAATGACAAAGCACATGCAGTAAATGAACATTTTTCAAACTGACTTTAATTCGAAACCACATTTTTTTCATGCAATCAATTATTGTATTGAGACAATAGTCCAATTACTTTCAAGCTGTTCCTGTATATTATTCATCAATCAATCAGTATTTTCTACACTTTTGAGCCAAATAACAAATAACGTCACCGATCAAAAGCTAATAAATAATAGGTTTAATGGTTTCACAGTATTTTAGTGTTTATCCTGCTCTTAGTCGCGTTCAGTGTTATTTTTATTTATGTTTTCCTAATTATTTCACATGTTTGTATCAGTTTTTTCTACAGGAAGTGATGAGGATTTCCATCTTTCCCACCTAGCTGTGATTTCTACTTCAGATTACAAAACGTTTACAATTGTCATTTCACTTCGCCGTGTTGAACATGCTCGGTCTGCTGAATAAAAACTGATGTAATGACAGTTCTTTAAAATCGTTTTTTTTGTAAAAACAATGCATCGTTTTACATCAAATTAAATGGGAAAGCACTGAAATAATCAAAAAGAATGCAATGTGGACTCTTGTGGTTTTGAACGCTGTTTTATGCATGTTAAATAAAATTAAAAAAACCCTAACCCTCTGAAATCAAGGGATATAGTAGTATACAGTTGCAGAAAATGTAAAAATTAAGGAAACCTGGGTCTTGCCTTAGGTTTAACTGTAAGAGAAACAAGTCAGTAAACCTGCTGTAGGTACTCGTTGTACAAAATGTAAACATGGCTTCATATATTACAACCACACCTAAATGTTCCTGTGAACAGCTCTTCTGTTTAGATTTCCTGTAGCTCTGAGCTGAGCCTTCAGTAATGTCAATAACTCTACAACAGCACCCCTTGTACACACACATACACACACACATACACACACACACACACACACACACACACACACACAGGCAGTGGCACAGTCAGTAGGGGCTTGGACTGTGAGCCGTAGGGTCACCGGTTCAAGTCCCTGAACAGACCTAAATATGGAGTGTGGACTGCTACTTGGAGAGGTCCCAGTTCACCTCCTGGGCCCTGCCGTGGTGCCCTTGAGCAAGGCACTGGACAACCCCCTTCCCCCCCACTCCCATTGCTCCCCGGGCGCTGTACAATAGCTGCCCACTGCTCCTAGACTCCTGGCACTAGGATGTGTTAAATGCAGAGGCTAAATGTCACTGTGTGTGCTGTGTGCTCTGCATGTGTGACCATTAAAGAGGGGTTTCATCCCTCCGATTCTATCTATACACACACACACACACACACACACACACACACACACACACACACACACACACACACACACACACACACACACACACACACACACACACAGAGCAGTTCAGATGAATGAATGTGATGGAAAATACCTGTAATCTCCTGGGAAGGAACATTGGAGTAAAAAAATTCTCACAGACTCTGTTTTGTTTTCCTATTAAGGTCCAGTTTAGTTTACTCTGCTTTTAATGTGATTTAAGGTTGTGTTTTCTTTACATTAGGGTAGCATCGAGACATTGGGAGTTCAAAAGCACAGTTTAACAGTTTGTGTTCTCTGCTTGAGTTATTGATCCGTCAATATCTTTCAAAATAAACCGAACTATGGAAAGCCCTCTGTAACGCTAGTCTTATCAATATAGACTCAGAGAGCGCATTAAAGCATTTATTTAAAGGCCTTTATCTTGTAATTACAAAGACATCTTAATCTATCAAGTGTCGATTGATCTCTTTATACGTCCAACCTTTAACAGACGTGTGCTTTTATTTTTCCCGCAAGAAGCTATCATCTATTAATTAACTGAAACAACTAAAAACTAAAACAATATTGCAGTCGCTTTTCCATTGACTGGTTTAAGAAAGAACAACAATTGAGACGAAGGTACACAAACTGTCAGCCATTGCTTTGGAGACCAATGAGTAGCTGTCTTAAAAACTGCCTGTCCATATGACACAATTGTAACAAAATAAAAATACAATACCCCTGGGAAAAGAAACAAAGCAATAACATTACATACAAAATATGAATGTGTCCATACACGACAAAAATATAATTTTAAAGTAAGTAAATATCTGGATATTTTCAGTAAGGCGTTATTCTGGATGCAACATGAGAGGGTCCTTCACACGGAAACCAGCGCTAATGACCGATGTTTGTTTTGCTACAATTAGCAGGTAAATCTTTCTCTGTTACTAAGATATTTACACGAAAATAACAACACTTAAGCATATATTTATATTGTATATGTTCTTACATTTACATTTCAAGGATTGAACATTCACTAACTGTCAGTTTCAAGCTGGCAAAATGTTTGTTTACATCGTGCGTTCAAGTGGCTAACGGAGCTAGCTTTGATAATGCTAACTCTGTTTTTATTATGTTTAGAATCATTTCTGTACACATTTATAACGTTACAATAGCTTTACAATACCACGAATAAATCTGTGTTATGAATGACTCAAATACAACTCAGTTGGTTTCGATATTATGGCCATTAAAGAGAGTTAACATTGTCATGCTAACCAAGAAGCTAGGCTAGGTGGCTAACGAACGGCGTCAGTTTGTGTCAGGTGTTTAGCCGTTGGAGAATTATATTGTATGGTACTTTTTTATTTAATGTTAGTTATAAAGAGTTTTTTGGTTTATTGTTTCGATTAAGTAGCCTGTATTTTAAGAAGTATTTCGATCATATAACTGAATGCACTTATGCAACACTGTTAAAGTACAACACTACAAGTCACAGTCCTGCATTCAATCCAAAATAGGTAAAAGGATGAATTAGAAACATGAATTTTAAAGTACTTTCTTTGCAGTAAAATGTCCTCTGTTAGTGTTTTATCTATAATGCAGGAAGTATCTGGGCCTATATCACTGCTGTAAATGTTAATGTTAATGTGTATGGTGCATTTTAATGTTTATTTTTGCTAATTCTACCTCCTTTTATATATTTAAATATACAATGCATTTTCCAGGTGATTCAACAGGCTTTTTTTAAACGTTATCTAGCTTAAAGATTATGTGAATTTACACAAGATATAAAAGAACAACAGTGGTTTTCACCGAACAGGAAGCGGATGAAACATTGTAATCTAAACAAAAAGTGTGCTAAAAAGTACAATATGTATCTATCATCTGTAGTGGAGTAGAAAGTTAACAGTTGGATGAAATAGAAATACTTAAAGGTCCCATGTCATGCTTTTCTGGTTATCACCCGTCCCCTTGTGTGTTATGAAGGTTTTTCTGCATGTAAACGGTCTGCAGAGTCACAAACCCTCAAAGTACACCCTGTAGCGAGTAAAACTCTAACACAGAAAAGACCTGTCTATGCTGCCCCAGAACGCCTCGTTGGGGATTTCTCTTTTTCTTCCTGGGTACAGTGACGTGCCCATACCCAAATGGACCATCCGTGGAGCTCCTCACACACACACACACACACACACACACACACACTCTCAGCGGGAAAACTGTGACGTGCTGGGGGGGGGGGGGGGGGGGTGTTAGTGGAGCCTCGCAGCGGCGAAACTGTGGCGTGCTTACACTGTAGGTGCGCTGCATTTGCACCCTTCCCACGTCCATTCGCGATGTCTCGCTGTCTCGCAGACCTCACGCAGCAACCAGGAAATGAACCCAGCTCACACTGTCCGCTCCTCGCAGCAGCGAGCCACGCAACGTCCCGCCAACACGGCACCCAGACCCCACGCAGCATCTGTTTGTCATTACTGGTGTCATTTTCTGGTTGCTAACGCCATTGTAACACATAATCACTGATGTTCCGCTGTAACGGTGGTGAACTCATCAGAGCACAGTGGGCTCACAGGGAGGGGGGGGGCAGGAGCTCCAACAAGCCGTGTAGGACAGAGAGTGAATACACATACTTCAGTGTTTCCCCTGCCATTGTCTTGGAGGGGCGCTACGCCCACCAACTGAGCCCCGCGCCCCCCCTGAGATTCAAGGTGTTTAAAAAAACATATATATATATAGCACCAAATTGCAACTAAACCTATATCTACTGTCACTTTTCACATTGAACATGTGCTCTTTATTACATAAACTAAAGACTTTCATTTTAAGTTGTGAGTTTAGTGTTTTTGACCCTAAGAAACACTGATGCATTAATCAATTACAATAATCCACAGCTCCTCTCTCTGCTCCAGAGGATTTAAAAACAGGCCCCAAAAAGCCTCGTTATTATTCGATTCATTCACTCAATTTATACACGTTTCTGTCATCTCCTATTCCCGGCGACTCTCCTCTTCCCGTCACCACGCTCTTCTCTTGATGGGAAACTAGGGGTCAATGTGTTTAAAACACCCACAAAAATACACTCTTTCTCTGTTAAAGAGGGCCCCCTGTTTTCTATTGAGACCCCTCGTTAAAACCCCTCTTCTTCCTCCCTCCATATCTTCATATCTTCTTGTTTATCTTCCCCTCTCTCTGCCCTTTTCACCTATGGAGGTGAAGAGTGCACAGGAGAAATGCCCCTGACGTTCCTTTTGTCTTGCACTTTCCTTTTCTCATTTCCTTCCACATACTTTCCTCCCATCACAATTTCTCTTTTTGGGGCCCCGCTCAGGCAGCACCCCCCCAAAGCAGTAAACCTAGGGGAAACACTGTACTATACAGAGATGCTGTATGAGAAACCAATGTGAGTTTGGAACATTGAACAATGTAAATCTATTCTAGTAGACCTCAACAATGGAAATATGATCAGTAGAAATGGCCAAGACATGGGGCCTTTAAATAAAGTACTTCAAATTAGGGATGCCAGAAACTGACCATGATCAAAATCGAAAATCGGACAGCCCTGGCGAATATTAATCGATTATTCGACCCCCCCGCGGGAGAGAAAAAAAAAAGTATTTTCGCAGAGCTTGCATTTGACTTCATTTGCACTTGTCAGTTCGAAGTACTCTTCGAACTTCTGTGGACGTGCCGCTCTGTTCATCTTTAGTTGTGTTCTCACTGTTCTGTCACCAATAACTCAATCGCACGTGTGACGGAGAGGGGGGGGGGGGGGTCGGTGTGTAGCAGGCTGCAGCAGCAGTCTGCACTCTGCGCTGCTGGCTTCCTCCAAGTTTACAGTAAAACAAACTGGTGGTGTGATCAATGGTCATTTACAATTATTAATACTATTAATATTATTAGCATTAGTCTATATTTTGGTTGAAACCAAACCAGGAAAAAAAAAAGAAAAACATAAATATTAATAAAAAAATATATAAATAAAATCGAATTTTAAAAATAATCTTCGATTATGGAGACTGTAACGAATATTCGAATAATCAAATAATCGCTGGCATCCCTACTTCAAATGTGTACGATTTTAGTTTATGTCAGTTAAATTCAACAAGGGGACATTTCTGGAAACCACATCAATGTAGATTAGAAAACAGATGGTCGGAACAGTTTTAAAAATTCTTAAAAAGCGTGAATAAACAACCTTTCTCTCATTGTCTTCCCTCAGTATGCCTGCTGAACGCAAACGCTCATTAAACATGGATGAAAAAGATGTTTGCACCTTCAGCAACAAGGACAAGGAGAAGGAGCGAGATGGTGAGAGGAGACCATCGTCCGCCCGGGACAAAGGCAAAGACGAGGCCAAGATGAGCGGGAAAAAAGACAGCAGCAAGGAGGAGAAGAGGAAGCGCCTCGAGGAGGAAAAGAAGAAGAGGGAAGAAAAGGATCGTAAGAAGAAAGAGGAGGAAAAAGTGAAAGCGGAGGAGGAGCAGAAGAAGAAAGAGGAAGAGGAGAAAAAACTGCAGGAGGAGCAGGAGAAGCAACTTCAGGAGGAGGAAGCCAGGAAACAACGAGAGGAGGAGGCAGCTCTCCTGAAGTGAGTGGGGGTTTTGTAAAGACACATTTTAATGCTGTTATCCTGTATCGCCCAATTGATGCTATTTCTACACCAAAATGTACACTTCAGAACTCTGATTTGTTACTTTCCATCGTGAAAATGTGTCAAAATAAATAAACACAGGGTGTCCGCGGGGTCTTAAAAAGTATTAAAAGTTGATAAATCAATTTAGCGAAAATTAAGGCTATTAAAAAGTATTAAACGGCATTTTCCAAGGTCTTACATTTTGTAGCTTGTTTCCAATAAGTATATAAATTGTCCAAAGAGGTTGTATTCTACAGTCTGCCTGAATGTAATCATTGCGTAGGTGTGTAGTGTGATTCTGTGTAGTTTATTTATGGCATCCCGTTGGATTTGACGTCATCTGAACAGGACATCGCACGCTCACTGCTTGATAGCGCGCGAAGGTCCGTTTACGCCGGTTGTTAAACAACATCGTTATGGGGAAATGCAAGTCTGCGTCCAAATGGTTGGAAGATAAGGAGGAAGGACAATCAATACTGTGTATATAGTGAATGTGAGGTGAAGTGTGTCGCCAAGGTAACCGGTTAGAACTCAAAGTGGCGATGAGGTCTTAAAATGTATGGAAAGGGTCTTAAAAAGGTCTTAGGTTACATTTGACTTCCTGCATATACCCTGAGACACCAAAAGGTACAAAAAGCAAACAAACTATAGCCCATAGCTTACTCACATCCTATACATTACTAACAATTCAAATTGTCCCATCTTTGTACCAACAAGGAGGCGTGTGGCACAGTGGGTAGTGCGTAGGTGTTCGGATCAGAGGAGCACAGGTTCAAACCCCACTGCAGTCAGCATGTCGTTGTGTCCCTGAGACACTTCACCCCAAACTGCTCCTGTGGGGATTGCCCACTGTATTGAGTATGTAAGTCGCTTTGGATAAAAGCGTCTAACAAGTGACATGTAATGTAACAAATGTCCCTTTAGGAAGTGCAAGTCCTGTCTCTTTTCCTGTTGTCTTCATGGTGCATCTCTCATTTTCGCTTAAAGTCAACTTTATTGTCTATCTTTCAGTTTGTGTGTACAGACCGAGAGATCGAAATACCGTTTCCCACAATCCCGAATACAAAAACAAATATATATAAGAATATGTATGCAAATATGTATAAACCTATATTTACACAATCAAAGACACATTTATACATATGCACACTTTAAGACCTAAATAAAAGCACAACAATCAATATGTGACCTGCTCCATCGAAATCAGTCGCATTGACCCGAAGACACATTTTGAGTTGTATACACTGTTGGAAAGAGGAGATTCATAGCTTTCTAATGATATCAGGATTGTTGTTGTTCTCCAAATATTAAGCTAAAATATGTCACATGATATAATGACTGTCACCGAGTCATCATTTTGAGAAAAAGGACTTCAAGTTTCCTCTTCTCTGGAATCCATCGATCTGATTGGTTATTAGCAAATGATCAAAGTACTACGGAGGGAAGATATTTTAGTTTGGATTACTGGTCTGGGGGAAACGAGTGAGTGTGTGTGTGTGTGTGTGTGTATGTACGTGTGTATGTACGTGTGTGTGTGTGTTTGTGTAATTTTGCGTTTGTGTGTATTGTGTTTGTTTCCCGGGGAAAACACTCACGAGAAACACCGGCTGTTGTTATGCCTGCTGTGACGTTAAGCTACTCCGTTCTCCGCTTGTAATTATGTCTACAAGCTTCAAAGTTGTATTTATCATCTGAATTTGCCGAAACAAGTTTAATATTTTGAAAGCCAAGACTTTGTTTAATTGAAGTCAGATGAAAACAAACTGTAAGGGACCCTGCCGTGTTATCTATGATTACTATACGCCTTACATTCATAATGTCAGCCGGAGGGAGGGGGGGCGGCGTGCGGAAGAGCAGAGTGCGAGTGCGAGCTGTCTTCTTCCCTTTACAAGCTGTAAATGTATTTATCGTGTGATTTTGGAAATAAAAGTTTCATATTCTGAAAGCTAACACTTTGTTTATTTAAAATCAAACAAAACACTCGAACCCCGAAAAACTATTTTTTTACGCAAATCCACGTTTATTTTGAAATGAGCCGTTGCGACTTCCTACTGATTTCGATAGAGCGGGTCACATATATACAAAATAACAGTCACTTCAATATCTCTGAGAATGTGCATTAGTGCAAGACTGTCCATAGCAGCGTGTGCAAATAAATACATTTCTGCAGGGAGAAGGAGGAGAGCCATCAGCTGCACCAGGAGGCCTGGGAGCGCCATCACTGCAGGAAGGAACTCCGCGTCAAGAACCAAAACGCCCAGGAGGGTCGACCCGAGGAGGCTTTCTTCAGCCGCCTGGACTCCAGCCTGAAGAAGAACACGGCCTTCGTGAAGAAGCTGCGAACGCTCACCGAACAGCAGCGCGACTCGCTCTCCAACGACTTCGGCTCCCTGAACCTCAGCAAGTACATCGGCGAGGCGGTGAGCTCCGTGGTGGAGGCCAAGCTGAAGATCTCCGACGTGGGCTGCTCCGTCCACCTCTGCTCACTCTTCCACCAGCGCTACACCGAGTTCGCTCCGCTGCTCTTACAGGCGTGGAAGAAGCACTTTGAGGCGAGGAAGGAGGAGAAGGCGCCCAACGTGAGCAAGCTGCGAACAGACCTGCGTTTCATCGCCGAGCTCACCATCGTCGGGCTTTTCACAGACAAGGAGGGGCTTTCTCTGATCTACGAGCAGCTGAAGAGCATCATCGGGACGGACCGCGACACGCACACTCATGTGTCGGTGGTCATCAGCTTCTGTAAGCACTGCGGGGACGATATCGCCGGGCTGCTGCCCCGAAAAGTGAAAGCGGCCACTGACAAGTTCGCTCTGAGCTTCCCTCCGAGCGAGATCATCGGCACGGAGAAGCAGCAGACCTTCCAGAACCTGCTGAGGGAATACTTCACCTCGCTCACCAAACACCTGAAGAAGGACCACCGCGAGCTGCAGAACACCGAGAGGCAGAACAGGTGAGTTTCAAAGCTTTTGACACCATAGCAGTGTTTTCTACATCAAATGAAAGCAATGAGTAAATATATAACTACTTTTCTTTCCAGAACAGGTGATTCTTCAGCTTTTAAATAGTCCTCCTTGGCAGTGTTTACTTCATTCAATGATAAAAATGACTATATATATTCTACAACTACTTTTTAAATGTTCAAATGTTACCAGCCACTCAATACATCACCATTGTTTTTTGTTATGGTGTCAGATGTACCAGCCTCTTGCATATTTTACTAGCATTCGGCCGGTAAATTATGCTAATGTTTTGCCCTTTTCGGGAATATTCAGAGTCGTATATTTGCTTAGATCAAACTTAACAATAACAACATGACTTTGGAGGAAGAAACCAGGTGATATTTTGGCGAGAATAGGTCAAAACTCAACTAAACTAGTTAATTTAAGCATTTTCTTTACATAACTTAAGACGGAAATTCTATGACTTTTGCTCTACTTAAACAGGATGATGTTGACTAAATATTATAAAACCTAGCAAGGACATTTGACACAGGACTATGGCTCAATAAAAACAATTAATGATACAAATGATCCCTTTTGGTTGATAACTCCTCTTCCCTTCTTCCCGTCCTCTTCAGGCGTATCCTACATTCCAAAGGGGAGCTGAGTGAGGACCGACACAAACAATATGAAGAGTTTGCGACTTCCTACCAGAAGCTGCTGGCCAACACTCAGTCTCTGGCCGACCTGCTGGACGAAAACATGCCCGACCTTCCTCAGGACAAGACGGTGCAGGAGGGTGTGTGGCCTTTCTTTACCACGGTTAATCTGAGTTCACACAAAGTCTTGAACATGTGAAAAATTGTTGTTTTAAATATTATGATTTCAAGGTTAGGAATATCTTTGAATTTAAATATACTCCAGTGTTCCTGTGGATCCTTGAAACAAGTCTTAAAAGTAGGGATGGGTATCGTTAAGGTTTTAACGGTACTACTACTTTTATCGATCCGGTCTTTTAACGGTACTCTTATCAGTTCTTTTGGAGAAAGAAACTAGGTAAACTAACTAAACAAATTGTGAACAAAACTAACATTGCTTTAAATTAAATACATAATATTTCACATCAAAAGAAACAACAATGTTTTAACAAATCGTATTAAATAATCTGAAGACAGAACTGTGAACAGAATGGCTGAAACTTTAACTAAATAACTAACTCAGTTCCCTCTAATCATTAACCCATGTTTGTATCATTGAGTTAGCTCCGTGTGTTGCTGCTAGCATACATAACACCTGACGTGGAAACGTTACTCGTGGATGGGGCTACAGAGCTGCTAGAGAGACAGTCGAACCCGGTGCATTCCTCCGTCTGGATGTGGAGCACTTTTGATAAATGTTTAGACAAACTGCTCGTGTTACCGCCCTCACATGCTGAACTCTAATTGCACTTTTGGTAACGAGCATTGTCCTCATCGAGACGGGTAAAGTTTAACCACACCTCGGAGCGCGTTCTCTCCACCGTCTCCTCCGTGTGTGTGTGTTGCTGCATGTAGCAGCTGTGTGTGTGTGTGTGTGTTGCTGCATGTAGCAGCTGTGTGTGTGTGTGTTGCTGCATGTAGCAGAGTGTGTGTGTGTAAACCGCCCCCTCACACACAGACGGAGAGAGAGAGATCTCGTCTGGATTGGAAAGATTGAAAATACTAAAAAATAATCATAGACGCATTTTGCTGTCTTCTTGCGTATTAGAAACGGAGTTGGCGACACTAAAACTGCAATATAATGTTTGTGTAGCAATAATATATATGACATATTTTTTTACATGTCTCCAGTACCGATAAAAAGACAGATAACGTCGGAGCTTAACGGTACCACGGTCTTTAATCATTCAGCCCCTCATCCCTACTTAAAATGCATTGAAGCCATTTGCATTTACTTCTGTAGGTATAAGCTATTAGAAGTTCATTCTGTAAACTTCCTAATTTGCGATAGTTCTCAAAGCAACTTTAGATATTATGACGTCTGTGGACGTTTTGGGTTTAGATAGATAGTGTACGTACCCTGTTTTGTTGTCAAATAGTGTCTCCTGTGAGGCAAACATGCATCTCATGTTTTTTTGTCTCCTTTTTACTCTCTCAGAGCACGGCCCTGGGATCGACATCTTCACCCCCGGGAAGCCCGGAGAGTACGACCTGGAAGGCGGGATCTGGGAAGACGAAGACGCTCGTAACTTCTACGAGAACCTGGTGGACCTGAAGGCCTTCGTGCCCGCCATCCTCTTCAAGGACAACGACAAGGGCAAAGACAAGGATGAAGGCAAAGGTACGTTTGATGATGATGATCACAACGACAGACGAAGAACATTAGATTTTGTTCTGACTTAAAGGTCACCTATTATGCAAAATCCACTTCTCCATGTCTCTTCTACATCAACATGTGTCCCCTCTTCTTCATGTCTCTTCTACATCAACATGTGTCCCCTCTTCTTCATGTCTCTTCTACATCAACATGTGTCCCCTCTTCTTCATGTCTCTTCTACATCAACATGTGTCCCCTCTTCTTCATGTCTCTTCTACATCAACATGTGTCCCCTCTTCTTCATGTCTCTTCTACATCAACACGTGTCCCCTCTTCTTCATGTCTCTTCTACATCAACATGTGTCCCCCTCTTCTTCATGTCTCTTCTACATCAACATGTGTCCCCTCTTCTTCATGTCTCTTCTACATCAACATGTGTCCCCTCTTCTTCATGTCTCTTCTACATCAACATGTGTCCCCTCTTCTTCATGTCTCTTCTACATCAACATGTGTCCCCTCTTCTTCATGTCTCTTCTACATCAACATGTGTCCCCTCTTCTTCATGTCTCTTCTACATCAACATGTGTCCCCTCTTCTTCATGTCTCTTCTACATCAACATGTGTCCCCTCTTCTTCATGTCTCTTCTACATCAACATGTGTCCCCTCTTCCTCATGTCTCTTCTTCATCAACATGTGTCCCCTCTTCTTCATGTCTCTTCTTCATCAACATGTGTCCCCTCTTCTTCATGTCTCTTCTACATCAACATGTGTCCCCTCTTCTTCATGTCTCTTCTACATCAACATGTGTCCCCTCTTCCTCATGTCTCTTCTTCATCAACATGTGTCCCCTCTTCCTCATGTCTCTTCTTCATCAACATGTGTCCCCTCTTCTTCATGTCTCTTCTTCATCAACATGTGTCCCCTCTTCTTCATGTCTCTTCTACATCAACATGTGTCCCCTCTTCCTCATGTCTCTTCTTCATCAACATGTGTCCCCTCTTCCTCATGTCTCTTCTTCATCAACATGTGTCCCCTCTTCTTCATGTCTCTTCTTCATCAACATGTGTCCCCTCTTCTTCATGTCTCTTCTTCATCAACATGTGTCCCCTCTTCTTCATGTCTCTTCTTCATCAACATGTGTCCCCTCTTCTTCATGTCTCTTCTTCATCAGCATGTGTCCCCTCTTCTTCATGTCTCTTCTACATCAACATGTGTCCCCTCTTCTTCATGTCTCTTCTACATCAACATGTGTCCCCTCTTCTTCATGTCTCTTCTACATCAACATGTGTCCCCTCTTCTTCATGTCTCTTCTACATCAACATGTGTCCCCTCTTCTTCATGTCTCTTCTTCATCAACATGTGTCCCCTCTTCTTCATGTCTCTTCTACATCAACATGTGTCCCCTCTTCTTCATGTCTCTTCTTCATCAACATGTGTCCCCTCTGTGGAAAGAGACTCTGAAAGTTTCAGGAACAAAGATTCTCTCTCTTTTTGATCCATTTCTATAAAAACCTGTCTGAAAATGAGCTGATCAGATTTTGGCCACTTGATGTCATAACGATGTTTTGTCTTGTGTAACCATTAGCCAATCAGCAACCAAGGTAACCCCCCCCCCCCCCCCCCCCCCCCCCTTATCACCTGAATCTCCTCCTAGAGCACCATTGTGTTCTTTGTAACCAAATCTCTCTCAGAGGGGCGTGGGGAGGGGCTCCTTATTTTCATCTAAAGTAACAGACAGAGAATCAGCACTTTGGAAACAGGGCTGAAACAGAGGGGATTATGGGATGCTGCAATGATCTGTTTGGTGTTTCAGCCAATCAGAGACAGGCTCTGTATATATCTGAGACCTGTGATATATTGATGACAAACAGTATAATAGGAGACCTTTAATGTTGTTTTGTTCAGACGGGAAAGACGGGAAAGATGGGAAGGAGGTGAAGGAGGCAGCGAGCACCACGGAGGAACTGGAGCTGGAACTCGAGGCTCTGGACATCGCAGACGAACCTCTGGAGCTGGAGGGACCCGACGAGGCGGAGAGTGAAGAGCTGGCCAAGAAACTGCTGGATGAGCAAGGTAAATGTTAGAAGAATCTCACTCGTCCCCGGCTTGAGCTTCAATCTCAGGATCCATGTATCTGTGATCCTCTCCAGAATGGAATTAGTCATCACATACAGAGCATCAACTAGTTCCTGAACAGTGTCCTTCACATGCTGATATCAGGGTTCCCGCGGGGTCTTAAAAAGCCTTAAAAAGTCTTACATTTGATAATCTGAATTTAAGGCCTTAAAAAGGTCTTAAATATGACCAAAAAAATAAGAAAGGTCTTAAATATGATTTAGAAGGTCTTAAAAATGATCCGATTTGAAAGGTACTTCTGTGTTGCGATAGCGTCTAAATGTGTTTTGGGGGAAATGTCCGGGCTGCAAAGTAACCAGTACGGTGAGAGCCTTTCAGTTCCCCCCAACCATTTGTATTGAAATAAATCAACATGGAACCAGTATACACTAACTTTGTTTCCCCCGGCCCCTTATCGGAGAACACCCAGCTCGTAACCTAGCAACCAAGCTTCAGCTAGCAGCAGTCAGAAACTCATGTATCTAAGAATCTACTTAAAAATAAATATGGGGAAGTGTAAATTCAACCGTATTTGGTTGGAAAACATCGAATTTAGTGCTTTGTTGAAACCAGGGGAGGGGAACGTGTTTGAAGCCCGCTGCACGTTTTGCAAAATAAATTAGTGTTTGTTTGGCTAATGTAGCGTTAGCTAGTGCAGCGTTAGCTAGTGCAGAAGCTCCCGCAACAACACCGGGGGACCTCCGGGCGACGTGTGGGTACGTCAACCCTAAAAGTGGAGGTGCTGTAGACGCTAAATACCGTAGTTAAACACCAATCATACAACAGCAACGATGAAAGATTGTAGCCAAGGCCTGAATATAGCTCTTGTTACTCTCTCACACACACACACACACACACACACACACACACACACACACACACACACACACACACACACTAGGGCTCGATTATGGCAAACATCATAATCACGATTATTTTGGTCAATAATTGATATCACAATTATTAAATACGATTATTCATTGACTTTAAAAACATCCATTTATTGAACTTTAAAACAAATAATAATTTGGACAGTATCTTTTTAACTGTTGATTACCCTGAACGTATAATTCAACTGAAAAAATTAATAAAATAAATGATACATTTAAATAAATAATATCAAAAATAATAAATACCAATAAACAAGATCAACAAATATTTTGGAGCGCACTTCCACAAGCTACTAAACATATATAAATATGATAAATACAAATAAATGAGACCAAAATTAATTAGATCAAATATGTTGTAGTGCACTGTCACAACCTAGCAAAGCAAAATAATCGATTATGTTTCGTAATTGTGATTAAAATACGATTAATTGCACAGCCCACACACACACACACACACACACACACACACTTTTTGGCTAACACAGTTCTGTACTGTTATGCTGTTATGTTCAGTCATTGTTCTTATGTTGAACATGAATACATTTACTTTGTAAGTAATTATGGGACGTATTTCTTCTTTCATAGCAATTTTCCTTCATACTTTCTTGCCGTGAAATAGGTCTTAAATTCTATTCAAAGTGGTCTTAAAAAGGTCTTAAAAAGTCTTAAAGCTCCCATGTCATGCTTTTCCGGTTATTACCTGTCCCCTTGTGTGTTATGAAGGTTTGTATGCATGTAAACGGTGTGCAGAGTCACAAACCCTCAAAGTACACCCTATAGCGAGTAAAACTCTAACACAGAAAATACCTCCCCAAACGCCTCGTTGGAGATACGTCATTGTCCATTTGATTCTTCCGGGACGGCATGATGTCAAGCCGTACCCGGAACGAAATGGACCAATCCGTGGAGCCGTTACGTTACGTCCGCGGAGCCGTTACGTTAAGCCCCCGCTGATTGGTCCAAATTGACCAATCCACGGACTTCCTCACACACACATCTGTGTGCAGGGAGCAGGCAGCTCAGCTGATTTCTCCTCCCTGGCTGCAGGCTGATAACAGACAGTTGGGATCGCGGCGAAATTCTCTCTGCAGACCCATTCTCTCTGCAGACCCATTCTCTCTGCAGACCCATTCTCTCTGCAGACCCATTCTCTCTGCAGACCCATTCTCTCTGCAGACCCATTCTCACTGCAGACCCATTCTCTCTGCAGACCCATTCTCTCTGCAGACCCAGACCCATTCTCTCTGCAGACCCATTCTCTCTGCAGACCCATTCTCTCTGCAGACCCAGACCCATTCTCTCTGCAGACCCATTCTCTCTGCAGACCCATTCTCTCTGCAGACCCATTCTCTCTGCAGACCCATTCTCTCTGCAGACCCATTCTCTCTGCAGACCCATTCTCACAGCGTTTATCAACCTTTGTCTTACTCAATATCAAGCCACACTTATTGTTTTTACTTCGGCTGTGACTTTGTGTGTGCTCAGGATGAGTTTGGCTGTGTTTGGCTGTGTATCGCTAACAAGGAAACAACACCTCCACGGAGCTCAGCGCGATTCACAACGTCCCGACCAATCAGAGCACACTGTGCTCACAGGGAGGGTGGGGGCTGGAGCTATTGGAGCTACAACGAGCCGTTAAAGGCAGAGAGTGAAATTCAGTGAATACACGTAGTTTACAGAGATGCTGTATGAGAAACCAATGTGAGTTTGGAAAAATGCACAATATAAATCTATTTTAGTATACCTCAACAATGGAATTATGATCAGTGGAAATGGCCATGACACCTCTCCTTTAAATTTGAGTTGGCGAAACCTGCAGGAACCCTGTGATATCCAAGAGAGGGAGTTACACAGTCACAAGATGGAGGAATACCGGGTCAAGTTGCCCATCCCTGTTCTAGGTAATCATACATCCTGTCATGTACAAAATACTGAGTTTTTTCTCAAAATGTTGGCGTTTTCTCAAAATTCTGACATTTTCTCAAAATTCTGACTTTTTCTCAAAATCTCAAAATCTGACACATAGCTATCATATGCCTTAAACAGTCCTGATGCTCTTCTAGGTAATCACACATCCTGTCATGTACACAGCTACAGTTGGGATACCTTTGTTATCATGTTACTGGAAGAGGACATTCAGTATTTAAACAGTAAACATGAGCAACGTTCAGGATGGTGTATTTGAACAGTGTTCCCATGGATCTTAAAGTTACTTAACTGTATATAATTGAAAGCCTTTTTTCACCGGTCACCCTAGTGCAAGCAGCGTTGTTCAGGGAAGCAATGCCTATAATATTTGCTTATTTGATGATCATGTATAAAAAATGTCTTAATGAGGGAGAGTGAGTAGAAAAACAAACCAAAAATCTTAGTTTAATTCTTACATGTATTTTACTGTGAGATCTTAGGTCATTCTAAACGTCTTGTTTGTCGATGTGAATGTTATTTTAAAGTGTGTTTTCTTTGTGTGTGTGTGTGTGTGTGTAGAACAAGAGGATGAAGAGGCCAACACGGGGTCTCACCTGAAGCTGATTGTTGACGCCTTCATCCAGCAGCTGCCCAACTGTGTCAACAGAGACCTCATAGACAAGGTGATTTATACGGAAATACAACAAGAGTGCTTGACATTTTAAACGTTGTGGCTTTATGACGTAATGCCTTGCTTTGTGTTTGATTACGTGACATAGGCATTCTTCACCTGAGAGACACATATAGTTACAAATGAGTAATGGCAGGATGATGATGATGATTGAATTTATGAGCTCTGTGTTGACTCCTGCAGGCGGCCATGGATTTCTGCATGAACATGAACACCAAATCCAACCGGAGGAAACTGGTCAGAGCGCTCTTCACCGTGCCCAGGCAGAGGTAAGATCTCTGTTCATCTACAACCACTACATCGAAGCAGCCCTTAGCAA